CAGGGGCTCCCTCCTCACCCCACCTCGAGTGATTTGCAGCTCTGCCTACAGAAGAGCTACCACCCCTACTTTCAACTCTGCTTCCTCTGAAGCTGCAGCTCCCCTGCTCCGAAGCAGTTTCCTGTTTTCCTGAAGTCAGTAGAGAATCTCCATGGCAGTATGTCCTTGGGGGAAGCTCCCGGCCACATCCAGCATAGGTGTAGGGAAAGGAGCAAGGGGAAGGTTTCTCATCAAAGGCAGAATGAGAGAATGGAGGGCTCCAAGTCAGAAGTCAGGATTAACCACGTCCCCAGTAGTTTACCCACGGAGACATTCCTGCAGTTCCTGTAGCAGCAGGGTAGGAGCTCCCCTCAGGTCTGGCCGAAAGCTCCTGCTACCTGTCACCCCCCAAACCTTCCCAAGGCAGCAGATCCTACACACTGGGCACACAGTGAGCAGCGCCACAGAAGAGCCCACTGCAAGGACAGGCAGGAAAGCAGTGCAGCTGGGGAGGATGTGCAGCCAAAGCCCTCCCCTTACAGCACCACACAACTGTAAGATGATTTTATATAGCTGAAACCTACTGGTTACAGAAGCGGCTGCTAATGGCCCACTCGGCCATCCCAAACAGCTCCTCACTGCTGAGGCACTGGGATCTCCCTGAGGGCTGAGAGCAGGATCCAGGCAGGTGCCCACCACGCTCCACCATAACCCAAGAGGCCAGACCCAGTAAAGCTACTGGAGGGGGGCCGGGACAGAGCCAGGGTCTGGAGCTTTGCTCAGAGGCACATTAAAATGCATGAGCTGTGCCGGCCTAATGATGAGCAGAGCTGTCAAACCAGGAGCTTGTCCCAGCTAATTATCTCTAACGAGGGCAGAGTGTCAGGGTCCCCCAGGAGCTGGGCAGCAGCTTCCCTCTCAGCTCAGTTGCAGGAGAGGGAAAAGATAAGCTAACGTCCTTGTGCTGGCCTAGATACAAAATCAGCCATTAGCATATGCAACCTTCTGTGCCAGTTTGCTCCTGAGAGCATGGACTTGCCGCAGCAGAGACACAGGCAGGCTGGAAACACCCCAGCTTTTGCCACCCAACGCATCCCCTGTGGCGCTGAGCCTCCTGCACCCATGCAGACAGACAGCACAGCCCCTGACCAACCAGCCCCACCAGGCAGGGGCTGCACAGCTCTGCTACACTCACTCTGGGGCTCAAATACCCCTTGAGGGCTCCAACCCATTCCCTGGCCCAGGAAGCAGCAGAGAAGTCTAGTCTTCAGGAAATGCCATCATTTAGATGGCTTTCACCTCACCACCCCCCACATCCCCTGAATCTTTAAGGCAGACATTAAGGCCCTGTGAATTTCCTCTCTCTGGTCCTACTCCCTCAGTGTAGAGGGGGGTGCCACAGTGCAGAGGGGGCCAGCCACACACCGCTCTACAAGCCCAGCCTCTCTCTCATCATGGGTCCTGTGGTTCAGAAACTAAGACAACACACTCGCCCGTATAGAGAGGAGGAGCATGTCTCGTCCCAAGACATGGTTAAGTCTCTTCCAGGGTTGACAATACAGAGATACAGCTCACATGAGGTCCATCCTGCAAGCTCTGTGCTTGTGCCTTACCTCTGAGCTGAAGGGAAATGGAAGAGAGACTTTTTTTCTCCATCCAGAAACACTCAGGACCACGAAGCTTACAGATGACACTCGTAATATACAGTGTTGTTCATTAGCGTGTAATTATGGCAAGTGCTTTACAATCCCTTATTGCCAGACAGAGGCAAAGGCTTGAGCACTCACTTCAGCTACATGTTTATAGAATGAAAGATTTAAAAGCCACCAACTTCAAACAGGAACAGCCTTGGTCTCCTTGGGACCAAGGGATCAGAGTGGCCAGCGAGCTCAGCCCCACTACTTGAGGTAGGGACTTAGGGTCCCTACCTGGGGTCTCTGCTGCAGAAGGCTGGGGGTTGATCTATGTTACACCATCACTGTGTCTCCCTGTCCCTGCTAGAACACACTAATGAGCCATAAGTATCAGAGAAAAGTTTACTGATACTCCCAAAATATGTACTTCATTTTACATTACGATCAAACTCTCAACAGCAGCCAACCACTTGCAAAGGCAGGACCACATTAAGTCAGTCTTACAGGAACACTTTCAGAGGCCACAGCAACAGTTCCTCATGAATTTATGCTGTTGTTAGACTTCAATAACTGCAGCATGCTCCTGGGCATGCTCTTCATGTGGCCCCTTCCACACAAGTGTGGTTCAGACCGGAGACTCATTGAACTACATAGCTTGATTTGCAGCAGGGGTTTTGCTCACTGCTTCTTCTCTGCCTGTTCTTTAAGCCGGTTGACGAGCTCTTCAGCATACACCTTAAAGAGCGGGACAGGGTCCTGGAACAAGGCAGAGAATAAGCCACTTACAAGGAGTGAACCTGCACAGCAGCAAGGGGTGCAGCCTGCTGGAGAGCACCGGGAGCCACTGCTGTGGGAGCGCCAACAGTTGACACCAGAGCACAACGTGGTCAGGTATTTTTCAGTAGCTTAACAAGGCAACTTGCTACTTCCCCAGAGACATCTGCTCTGGGCTCTGTCACCTTCCCTCACAGATGACAGGCACCTGTGTGGGACATTCATCAGCTTTTCCCCCTTCTGCCTGCCCATGGGAATCAGCAGCTACCAGGGATCCCTTCTAATAATGCTTCCCTCCCTCCTCACATTGCCCTCAATCAGGGCTGTACTAAAGCACACGGGGTGAACACACCCCTTGAAGAAGCTGCAGCCCCATGGGGTTCAGGGTCCAGCACCACCTCATACAGTCAGTGCTTCTGACCCTTTTGCTCCTGCTGCAGGCAAAATGGGAGCCAACAGGTCTGGAGGAAATGTCGCCATGAGAGGCTCATGCGGCTGCTCAGGAGTTTCGGATCGTCCCTCAGGAGTGCTCAGGCTGTTCAGATCAGGTAGACGTGCAGCCTGATGCAGCTGAGGCACCTCGGTGCCAAGCACTGCCTCAGGAACTCACCTTTTTTTCTCGGAGCCTCTGTTTTTCTATTGCTTCTTCTAAACTCAAGCCGACCCATTCAGCTTCCTCTTCTGGGATTGTAAATTCCTGTGATAAAGGAAGGAGCAGGTGGTACAGTCTTTCCAGAGGACTGAGATGCAAATCCCCTCGATGCCCACCTCTCACAAACACGCAATCCAGCAGGAGCATTACTATGGATAAATCATTAAACACCCTTCCCTCATTGCTGGCAACTGAAGTTGGCTTCCTACCTCTCCCTGCCCCACAGCAAGAGTCCTGCTTTCTCTGAACAGTCATGGCCGCTGCTGTGCCTCCCCTTTGTGTAGTCCTGGGGCTGTTTCTCAGCACAACTCCATGGACTGTGGATGCTTCTATGGAGGTGTTTCTATGCTGGCACCCACCAGGAGCTGCTCAACACTGAACTGCACACAGGAGCTGTGGTCTCCTCGCTGCAGCATCACCACAAATTCTTGCTGCTGTTGGCAGCGCTGGCTCCAACCAGTGCTTATTGCAGACCCTCACTGAGCTCAATCACAGCAGACACACAGGCTTGTCTGCCCAAGTAATCACACGGAAATTGGCAGCCCCCAGAGACATAAAAAGCCTGATAAATTGTGCTTATGCCTTCTTTGGCCGTACCCTTAAACCTGAACACAGTTGGAACTTGATGATCTTAAGGTCCTTTCCAACCCTAACTATTCTATGATTCTATGATAAGCATTAACACTGGTCTGTGCTGGGACAGGGTGATTAGATTATCAACGTGGACAACCCGCAAACACCACTGCAGACACCAGGGCAGGAGCTGCAGGTCAGGCCCCAACCTTGTACTTGTTATAGATGGCCTCTCTCTTGGCTGGATCATCGGGATGCAGTTTAGGATCCCGCCGTGCAAGTCGCAGCAGCATAGTTCGCTTCAAATCCATTCCGAGCTTTGAGCACATATCAGCTTTTGGGGTCTGGAGAAATAAAGTCAGATGTTAAATTGCACCAGAAGTCCAGCTGCTAAAGAACACTCAAGTCTATCAGCACATAGACAACACTGGTGGTTTATCCGCACACTGTAGAGGCTTTCTGGACATAGCATTATGAAACTAATCCCTTAGGATTGTCCTGGAGCTAATTTGATCACGGTTCTGACCCTTAACAGCAAGTCAAGGGGTTACCAAAGGCTGGAAGCTTTTGACATGCGCTAACACACCAACAGCAGATGCCTGTGTGCACAGCGCCCTACCTTGAGGATGTAGAAGTCAAAGCCGTAGGCCTCGTCGATGAGGTCCAGCGTGCGCATGGTGACGGTGATGGTCAGCGTGGCGTCCAGGATCTCGCTGTAGAACTGCCGCTCGAAGAGCTGCGGCTTCCAGATCTTGGGCAGCCTGGTGGAGAGCTGGGCAGAGACCGGGTCAGCAACCGGGGCCGCCGCCTTCCCCGGGGGGCTGCGCCAGGGCCGGGAGCGCAGCGGTCCCGTCCCATCGTCCCCAGCCGCCGCCCCTGCCCCCGCCCCCGCTCCCCTCCGGTGCCCCCGGCGCAGGCCCAGGCCGTGCCGCAGCGCTCACCTTGTCATTGCGCGCGTAGCGGAAGCCGCGGATCCAGCCCTCCCCGCCCCAGAGCCCTTCGTGCGCCGCGCGGGGCAGGTGCACGGGCACGGGCACGTCCTGCACACGCTCCCACTCCCCGGTGCGCGGGTTGCGGCGGGCGCGCAGGCCGTGCGGCCGCCAGTGCACGGGGGTGGGGGGGGTCTCGTCCCGCAGCTCCCGCAGGTAGTGCTCCGGCAGCCGCGCGCAGATCCCCTCCCGCAGCCGCATCTCCGGCCACAGCCGCGGCGGGAACCGGTGCAGCGGCATCGCTCCCCTCCGCCGCTTCCGCTCCCGGCGCGCACCGCGCCCGGAACCGACGCCGCCAGCGCCGGGCAGCGGCTGGGGCTGCAGGGCCGAGGGCGAGGACGGCGGCCGGCAGGGGCCGCGCCGCAGCCGCGTTTCGGCCGCACGGTGACAGCGCGGCGGTGCCCTCAAATAGCTTTATTGGATTATAAAACTGTAAGCGTTAAAATCCACCGTATAAAATAATCACAGGAAGTAACAGCAAAGGAAATGAACCCAACAGACCTGTTCTTTCCGCAGGAATTCCCTCAGATCTTACCCCACATAATGAATACCACCGCCACCTGAACGCACCCTTGTGCCAGGGCAGCAGGAGGCACAGGGCACAACGTCCACGATCAACACAAAATAAACAATCACGGCAGCGGGATTTCTCGCCCCAAAGGCCCGGTGAGGAATTATTATTGCTTTCTCCGGTAACGGGCAGCCCGGCACAAAGGGCACGGCTGATGGAGCGGTGGGAGCTCCTGGCACGGTACCGGGGCTGCAACGCCACTGTGCAAACCGAAACGGGGGGAAAAGTGCCTAAAAGTGAGAAGAGTTCGAGAAGCCCTGAGGGCCCCATGTCCCTCACCCCAGTCCCATCCTGCTGGCGTGGATAGCGGCAGCAACGGGAAAACTCGGGACACGGGTGACGGGACAACATCGCTGGGTTCAGGCGAGTGCCCTTCGCCTGCTTAGGAAGTCAGAGCTTGAAGAGGAGGGGAGGCAGAGGGTAAAGTGCAGAGCTGAGCAGGAGGCTGGCTGCTCTTCAAAGCAAAGAAAGAATCCCGAGGAGGCAAATCCTTCATAAATAGCTCTTTCCTCCACAGAGCCACCTGAGGAGGCGCTCCCAGCAGCCTACACCCAGCCGAGCGCTGGAATCAACCAGCAAGGAACGGTGTATTTTAGCTCTACCTATAGGATCTGGATGGGCAAAGCCAGCTTTCCTGGTTGCTAAGCTTCTGCCCTTGCCTTCTGATGTCTGCGTGCCCTTTAGTAAGGCTAAGGTGAGACAGACACTGCAAAGGAGACCGTAGACATCTGGGGAGCCCATGGCAAAGCTCTTGGCTGAGGCAGGATGCTGCCAGTGGCCTCAGATGAGCTGTGATGCTGCAGCACATCCACCTCCCAGGCTGGAGGAGCAGGGAGTGCGCAGCTCAGACCCCATCCTGGACCACGCACACTGCCCCAGGCAGAGCTGCGCACACACCAAACCCACAAAAGGGAGGAAGACTGTAAATACCTGAACATCGAGGGAGGAAGGGGACAGTGCAGCAGCCTGGCTCCTTCTAGCTGAGCTGACAGCTGAAGTTAGCTTGGACTGAACCCTGCACTGCTGCAGGTTTCACAGCTCTGGGTGAGATGCTGCTGATGCTGCTTGCATGTCCCCACCTTGTGTTTTTTCACATTCCTGCCAAGTCTGAGCCTGAATCCAGGGCCCAGGTCCCAGCCTTGTTCTTCCCCCCCCCCCAGAACCAGGACTGGGTAAGAGCAGCGCTGCCCATTTCGTAGCGAGAGAGGCTCCAGACCCTCGTGGAAATGGCAGCCGAGGGCCCAGTACACACCAGGATCAGCTTCCTCCCCACCAGCACCAAGGGCATGCGGCAGTATTTGCCCCCCAGGTCAGAAGAAACCCATCTTTCTTGGGTTCAAATGCTGACTGCAGGACAGCAGGGAAAATCCCTGCCCCACAGCCCTCTGCTAGGAAAAGGGGGTGCAGCTCAGTGTGGGCTAAGCCCAAGCCTCATGGATGCAGCAGGAGGGGAAGAAGGGTTGGCGATTTCCCCCAGGGCCATGGGGAGGTACAGGACAGGCTATTCCTTGATCTAGAATCACAAAGAGCCTGCCCCCTCTCAGCAGAAAAGCAGAGGTGGCCTCAAGCTTGCCCTCACGAGACAAGCCCACCATCTCCATCTTTAAACCTGGTGCACACTGTGCCCTCCCAGCCAGTGACCAAGCACGTAAGAGGATTGCTGACGTGCGAGAGAGGGGCAGCCCAGGCCAAGAGCAACCTCAGCAGCCTCCACCTCTGCCACCAGGAGCAGAGCAGTTCATGTCACAGCGTACAGCTCCTCACGGTCGTTCTGGCAGATCTGATAGCGACAAGTGAGCTTCTGTGACCAGGCCCAGGGCTTTTTATGCTTGTCCCGAGGAGGAAGCAGGAAAGCAACGCTGCAAGCCACCAGCACGTGCCAGATGCTGTGCGTGTAGTAATAGTTCTCATTGGTTTCCATGAATGCATATACTGAGATGGCAATGAAAGCCAAGGTGATCCCTGGGAGGAGGTAGAAAACCCAGCGCTTCCACGAGGAGGGGTAGCAGTGCCTGCGCTTCACGCCGTGGTAAACCTGGAGGTGTCAGAGCACAGAAGGTTAAGCACCCAAGAAGAAGTTCAGGCAGGGGGAACAGGCAGTGCTGCCTGGCCCAGGAGCACCTGCCAACCTCACAGCAAGAGGCTGTGCCTGCTGCCCCCGAGAGAGTCATCCTCCCCTCTTCTTGGGGACATCTTTTGCATGCAAAAGCCCATACCCAGCTGTGGCACCAAAGCCCAGCAAAGATGCTATAGCTCCGGCACACTGCAAGGGCAACAGATAACCCTTCTGGGGCAACACTGCAGCCACAGGCATGCACTCAATTGGAGCTGCAGCAGCTCGACTGTGCCGAGACCCATAACCAGGGATCTCTCAGCTACAAGGGATGGACGTACACCTTGCCTTGCCCCCCCTCCATCTGGGTGCTTCACAGAATCATGGAATAGTTTGAGTTGGAAGAGACCTTCATAGGTCATATAGTCCACCCCCCTGCAATGAGCATGGACATCTTCAACTACATCAGGTTGCCCAGGACCACATGCAGCCTGGCCTTTAATCTCTCTAGAGATGGTACATCCACCACCTCTCTGGGCAGCCTGTGCCAGGATTTTACCACCCTCACTGTAAAGAATTTCTTCTTCACATCCAGCCTAAAAAGCCTCCCCACTTTTAGTTTAAAACCATCACCCCTCACCCTGTCGCAACTCGCCCCACTAAAAAGTCTTTCCCCATCTTTCTTACAGGCCCCTTTTAAGAACTGAAAGGCCAAAATCACTCTGAGGAGATTTTTGGAGCAGATCAAGCCATGCCTGTGGATAGGCTGTAGCCAGGGTCTGCTCTGTCACCATCATTGTCCAGAAGGGAGCAAAAGACAGCAAGTCCTGCCTCACTGCCCTTACTTACCCACGCTGCAACCATGATGACGAGGGCAAAGAGGCAGGGACCCATCATGTTCCACACCCCTCTGCGGTCCAGCTGCAGGGACATGGCAATTAGCAGGGTCCCCAAGACAAAAAGGACCTGGGAATGAGACACCACCACTGTCACCAACAGTTCATCTGTTGCCAGAGCACAGCCAGCTGTGCCAAAGGCATGGAGGGCCTCAACTCCAGGCCACCCAGCCCTGTGTGCATGCAGGACTTGGGAGCAGCACCTTCAGAAGGAGGAACCAGAGGATCCAAGAACCTTTCCCACAAATCCCAGTCCCTACAAGCACACAGGTTCACAATCCCAGGACAGAACAATCCAGTGGTTTCAAACCACGGTGGCATCGAGTGTCGAACAGGCTATGTCACCAGGCTAGGCTGTGTCACTGAAACACAGCCATGAGAGGGCTCAGTGCAGCCGCCCATGGCTCGGCTGGCTCAGGTCTGGCCCTGCCGTGCAGGGTTACCTGACACTCACGTATTTCAGGATCTTCTTCACGCGGGACATGCACAGGATCGTCACCCAGATGGACACCACAGAGCCCAGAAAGTCACAGTACTGCAGTGTGTCGTAGTCCATGATGCACAGCACCGCGATGCCCGGCTGGTCACACGCATGGTAGAACTAGAGCCAGGGACAAAAGCAAAGGCTAGCGTGAATCCAGCAGCACCACATGGCTTTCTGGGAAGGAGAGGCAGGAGAAGGCTCAGCCCATGGCAGCAGCATCCCTCCTGGAAGTGCCTCCCCGAAGCTCCACCATGGTTTTACAGAGAGCAGATGAGAGCAGCCATCAACTTGCTCTCTAGGATTGCTCCTAGGACAGCACCCTTCAAGAGTGCAATGCTCCTGAAGCAGCCAAGATGAAGACGCCCATGTCTGCTCCCTGGGCTCCCCCCCCCCAAACGTGAGAGCCCAGTGAAAGTTGCACTTCTGCCCAGCTCTGAAGGAGCAGGACGTGCCCATGGAGGTGCTTGTCCAATGATCCTAGAAGCTCCTCCACCAAGGACTGCAGTCTGATGCTCGGGGGAGGTGAGAGGGGACCCGACAAAAGGCAATCCCTACCGTGGAGAAGAACATGGTGTAGGTGTAGACAGAGGCCTCCACCAGGTAGTAGCGATAAACAGCAACCGCTATGGCCGGCAGGAACATGAGGTTGCTGAGGGTGAGCAGGAGGGTGGCCAGGTTCTGCACACTGATAGACTGGGCCTTGGCATCGTCTGTGCAGCTCCACCCTCCCCAACCTGCAGAGCAGAGAGGCTTGTGTGGATCTCACTGCCCTACCCTGTCCTCCTCAGCACCCAGCAAGAGCATGGGATGCCTCAGGAACAGGATTCACAGCCCTGAGCCTCCTCTCACTTGGTCCATCAGCCAGCCCCTCTCCTGCTCTCAGGATGGTCTCTACTCATTGCATGCTCTGCTCTGAAGTCTTGGGGAACCCCAGCAGTGCCCTGCGTCTGCTCTGGGGGCATCCCACAAGTTGCTCCCACGTAGCAGAGTCCACTCTAGCTACAGCATTGGTCTGTCCAGAAGGGTACTTTCACCCCTTCAATAACTCAACACATGTGCTGCTTGCTGGTGGTACATCAGCCTCAGATGCTTCACATGATGGTGTAGGCTGGGTGAAAGATCCCTACACATCCCAGGAACCAGGGTGGAGAATGAACCACAGCACTGAGGAAGCCACTGGGCTCCTCCTAGCACTTGGCACAGCAAGGCAGACTGCGAAGCCAGGTGAGATTGCTCCAGCTCTGCAGCTCTGGCCTTGCCCAACTGAGATGTGAAGATCCTCAAGGATGTGGCCCTGGACTCTGTGCAGTGACAACAACTCCGACAGGGGAAAGAGCTGTCTTCTTCAGTTTAGCTGGAAGTTTCCTTGCTGCAGCCCAGGTCTGTGGCCTCTTGCCCCTTCCCTCTGCTCCCCCAAAAGAGCCCAACTCAGGGTCCTTGTAGCCCCCATGCACAGCCCAAGGTGCGAGTGTAACTCCTCCTCTCTAGTGTGATCAAACCCAGTGCTCAGCCCGCAGTGGCACCCAGGTCTGCACAGGACAGTGGGAGTGAGCATATCCTAGAGGACAGCATGATGACACAGGGCACAGTTCTCAGCCTGCTGCCGAAGGACTGAGCTGAGACAGTCTCCTGTGATCACACACCTGCCTTTTTCTTTCTTTGAGTTTATTTCTATTCAAGATTAGGATGCCCACACCGTGCCTTGGGGAAAGAAGGTCAGTCACAGGGCACCCTGGGTATGTGCAGGCACCCCACGGTCCAGAGGCAGAGTTAAAAGTAGCTACAGTGCCACTAGAAACCAAGCCAGCAGCGCTGCCCCTTGTGCCAGCTCCCTGCCAGGCAGAGCCCGGGGAGGCTGCTCTCTCCAGTTTATTTCTGGGTCACAAATATGCAGATGGGGCATTTTGCTCCAAGTGATTCAACAGAAAGCTGTCCTCAGCCTGAGTCCCCGGTTCCCTTGGGGTGCTCTGTGCTTCCCAGAACCTGGCACCCCTGAGGGAAATGAGGATGCTGCTCTCCATCTCACTCCACACCCATCATCAGCACTGCAGCAGACAGCAGGGATGTCTTGGCTCAGACCCAGAGCAGCACTGAACCACAGCTTACCCTGTCCTTCTGCTGGGAACAGGTACACGTACCACCCAGGCACAGCAGAGCTATCATCTTCCCTACGCCACTGACTACAGCCTTCTCATCCCACTAAGATAATTAGCAGCTGACACAGATGTTCCTCCCCCAGGGGCACCTCCAAGCCCAAGGGCTGGCCTGTGTGCTGGCTCTTGGCAGGAGACAGCACCATGGCAAAGCACAGGCAGGGATGCAGCCCGACCTCATGGCACCTGTACCAGGACCCCACATAACAAACCTCACTGGGAGGCACAGGCTCTGGTGCAGGCACTTCCCTCAGCCATGCCAGCACCCTGATCAATCTGGGGGTGCTCAGGAGCACCTCTCCGAGCCCTGAGCCTCTCAGCCCAATTCCCCATTTTCCCTGGGGTACTCTGTGCTCCCTAGAACACAGCATCCCTTGGGGAAGTCAGGATGCTCTCCAAGAGGCCACTACGGGTGCTAAGGGCTCTTTGGGCAGGCACTGTGACACCAGGCTGCTCCTGGCAGCTGTGGCAGACCCCAGGCTGCCCTACCCAAACACCACCACCATAAACATGTGTCCTCCCCTTGGGGAGGATGGCAAAGCTTCCTAGAACATGCACTCACCAGCCTTGCAGCTGCAGCCAGCATAGAGGTAGCCGTGTCTTCTCAGGAGGCTGCACTGTCCGTAGGGCCCACAGTCATTGAAGCAGGGGGTGAGGTATGCAAAGACGGTCACTTTGGCTTCTGCAGCATTACACTGACTGCAAGGACAGCAGGTCACGTTGGTACCCTGCTCCTCTGGGGCAGCCTTGTGCCCAGGGAGCACCCTGCTCTGGCTCAGGCCATGCCTGTGTACGCAAGCTCCCTGATATTCCGGGGTCTATTCCATCCCTCCCCAGAGCGTGAAGCAGAGTTGATTCCCTCTCCACTTCAACTGCCAAACTGATATGCAGCCACCAGCCCTCCTGACACCCACAGCAGACTCCAGTGCCCATAACTGACTGCAGCATCACTAGCACTGTTTTACAGTGCACCCTCAGCCCGTTACACAAGGGCCAAGCTTCTGCTTTCTAGGCAAACTGCAGGAGGATGAGCACAGCTGCCTACATCTCAGAGGCCCCTCAAAGGAGTAACAGCAGCATTTTCATTTACCAATTGATCACCTCAAAATCCACCTGGGGAAGAGGAAGCTCATCCAGGCAGGCTCTGCCATCTGCAGCCTGCATGAGATGTGCCAGCTGGGCACTAGAAAAGCTGTTTGGGTGCTCACAAGCGAGCAAGCTGACACTGTCACCCACCCCCAGCTCCCTCTGCAGCCGCAGTTCAGCTGCTACCTGCTGAGCTGAGCCCGTGGCATGGTGGCGAGAACAGGGGTTGGTTTTGCTCACAGCAGTCAAGGGCAGTGGGGTGTGGAGACAGAGCGCTCTGAAGCAGGGCCGAGGTGGGGTGGCACAGCACTCACCCCTGGCCCTTCAGGCAGGTGAGCTGCAGGGAGAGGAACCAGTCATCCGTCTGTGGGTACAGGACAATCAGCGTCGCTTCCGCAGAGGATGTGCTCACTCTCAGAGGGTAGCCCTGGAAAAAAGCTTAAGGAAAAGAGGGTGCTGTGATGTACCAAGACTAGGGGAGAAGGGACCACAGCAATCCTATGCCGAGATGGATTGCACAGGAATCAGAGGCTCCTGTGGCTCCTGCTCCCATCCTCAGGAAGTACCTGGGGAATGGAGGGGACCCTTGCCCCTGAGACCCGTGTTTATTCTTTCCTCTCAGCTCTCAGCCCTGCACAGGCAGCAAAAGGCACCTGGAGCACCCTGTTTGCTTGGCTAGTCCTCCAGTGCAGAGCTTAGCTTCTCTAGACACCGGCAGTACCTTGACCATGCCCAAACCTCTTGCCAAGGCTGGAAGAGCCCCAGATGGGAATGAGACCTTCCTTTGTTGGAGACTAATTCTGGATGCCAGACTAGCACCTCAGGCACACTCCATCACAAAGACCTCACAAGAGCTTGTGCCAAAATCAGCTTCCTTGGGACGCCGCAAAGTCCTGAGTCAGTTGACAGCTCACAAGCCTAAAAGCAAAGCCCCGAGATGGTGTTGCTGAGCTGGCATCAGGCGCCAGCGTCTCCTACCTGTGCTGCAGTTGTGTGTGGCATTGAGGGACAGCACCGGTGAAGCAGCACTCACACACGCTACCACGGAGGCATTGGCCAGGTTCACGGATGTCTGTGCAAACAGAGCAGTGTCCCAGGTCAGAGCGCCCCGATGCCACCCCCTGGCACAACTCCTCTCCCACGCTGCCCCCAGGAGCAGCAGGGGACAATGAACCCTGCAGATCAAGGTCACCCAACAACTCAGCAGCTTTTCCTGGGCAAACCCATGTCCCCTCACCCTGCGCTGCCACCGTGTCACAAGCTGGCTGAAAGGTAAGAGGGGCTCGTGGGGAAACTGCCCCAGAGCGGTGGCCCTCACACATCGCTTCAGCAGGAGCACAGTGGCAGGAGGCAGAGGCAGCAGCACACCAGGGCTGAGCCCTGCTGCAGCCCTCAGGGTGTTACACAGAATTTCAGGGGGCTGATTTTGGGATGAAGGAGACCGGGAGTCAGTGACTTGGGCAGGAACATCCCTGGGTTTGCCTGCTCAGTTTCCTATCCTGGTGGCAGGGTGCCAGGCTCCTGTGCAGAAGATGGCACTGCAGCTGCTTTCCATTTTGTCTCCTCTGCGTCACTGCCACCACATGCCAGCAAGCTGTGGCACCTGAAGTGGAGCTGGCAGGTGGGACATGCTGGAAGCGGCTAAAGCAGGCTCAGAGTGTTTTGTGACAACAAAAGGGAAGATAAATAGTCCCACCGGTACCTACAACCCCTGGAGTTTGCTGACAAACCCACCCAGGAGCAGGGACAGAGCCCCGCAAAGGGGATACAATCCCATCCGAGAGCCTCCACACCTTGTTAAGCAAGAGACTGATCACGAGGGAACCCCCGCTGTCCATGCCAGTGTTCAGGCTGAGGAGGAGCAGGCTGGGGGAGAGGCTGTTCACAGGCACACTGGGACCATTCAAGAGCCTGTAGCGCACAGACACCACATCCAGGTCCTCACGAACGACGGGCTGGTTCTGCAGGCAGAAGCTCCTGTGGCCAGATGCGTTGTGTGAAGCCTCTGTGGCAGTCAGAGCAGAGCTCCCTGCTGCTCCTGTGCTACCTGGTCTGGGACCAGTTTGGCTCTGGTTTAGGCTGCTGAAGTTAAGAAACGAACTGGTACTTCCTGGTCTGCAAGCTGTAAAGCAAAAAGGGAAAGGAATCAGCACAGGCAGGACTAGCACCTCATGCAGGCAGGGCCCCAGCAGCTCCAGGCCTTCAAGTGACAGCACAAACTGGAGGTATTTCAGCTGGTTCATGCACTGCAGCATTCGCTACAGCCCCTGAAAGGCATCATCTTTGCAGCGGGAACTCTAGCATCAGCATCCACAAGTTGGGACATGATGGACGCCTGTCCATGCTCCCAGAGACTCTAGTGCTCCCCTCTAACACCTCGACTGTGAGTGCCAGGCCCTCCAGCACGTGGGCTCAGGCTCTGCTTTGAAGAGGGGATGGCAGAACCCCCAGCACAAAATGTGCCTTGTTGGTGGGCTTCAAGAGTCAAACAGGGATTATGGTCATGTAATAGGAGGATGCAAAGGTGCCCGTCACAGCCACAAGGACCTTGTAATCTTCTGAGTCACAGGGTGTCACCCGAAATGATGACATCCCTTCGCTGCCCAAGACATTACCCTGAAGAAACCTCTGTGAAATGGTTTCTTGTCTGTAGCCTGCTTATTCCCAATCGATAGTCAACATATCATCACAGTGCAGTAACCCCAAATTACCCTCCCCACAAGATTTCAAGTAAGTCAGGCGCTGCTTCCCAAACAGGCTTTGGGAAATACCATTGCTTCAGAGACCCCAAACTTTTCAGGTGTTTCCAAAACAGGCATCTCCAGGGAGCACCCTCTTGGGTGAACGCTGAAGCCTTCACTTTTCACCTCGATGCAACAACTATATTCCAGCCCCCAAGGTTACGCCAGCATGTGAGGGAAGACAGCCACCAACCCCAAGGCTCAAGAGAGACACAGTAGACACAAAGTTCTCTCTGGTCCTTCCCATAGGGCTAGAGAAAGTGGAAGCCCACCTGTGAAAGAAGCCAGCATCTCCACAGACACACTGGCATTGGCAGGGCCAAGACTCTCCACCATGATCTGCAGCCACTTCTCCCAGGGGGGTGACTCCAGGGCCAAGCTGCAGTTGACATTGCCAGTGCAGGTGATGGTCTTCTGGAAGGACTGGGGCAGCGTGATGGAGCCCAGCACTACCCGCACGGCACACGCTTTCCGCTCGCTCGTCACACAGCTTCGCAGCTCAAACCGCATCCCTGCGGCATGCTTGGGAACAAAGACCCTGCAGGAGGAAGGGGGACCAGCAGTTTGCAGAGCTTGTGCTCTCCACATAAGCCAGCTGTGACCCACCACAGTCCCAGGGTTTTGTGGGCAAGAGCTGGCTGGTCCTGGTTGGTGTTGTGAACATCCTTCCCATGGGAAACATCTCCACGAACTACAGTTCCCACAGCTGGACCTCTAGGACCACCCGGGAAGAGCCGGAGAAGTGCGTGCTCCTTGTGTAAACCCTACCACTGCTGCAGGGAGCTTGGCAAACAGGCACGGAGATCCCAGCTCCAGCCCCACACGGGAACAACAGTGGCTCCCCCTAAGCAGCACCCATGGGAAATCCCACCCCATCACAGCCATAAGTTCTTCCACCCACTGCTCTCACTCACTTGACATGCAGTGGCTTAGCAGGCGAGACAACTGTTTGTGGCATGGCAACACCAGGCTCCAGAACAGGCATATCAGTGAGTCTGAGCACAAACATATCTGCCTGGAACATATAGGGGCATGGAGTGGAGAAACCCTGCAGGAGGGGAGAGCAGAGAGGTCAGCTGTGGCAAGACACACTGAGCAGAGCACGATGGCCAAGAGCCTCACCAGGACCCTCACCTTCACTTCAATCCTGCCAGCAGCCTCAGGGAGATGGGCAGCGATGAACCAGTCTCCAGCAGCAGGGCTGGTGATGTTCACAAATGTGGTGTTCTGCACAGCACTGCTCAGAGTGATGCTGATGTTATAGGAAGGACGGACAGTGGCATTAGCAGGAAAACGAGTGCCCAGTGGGTTAATTACGGGAGGGGCCCCATAACGAAAGTGCCTGTGAGAGAAACCAGAATGCAAATAAATCGAGGGGTGTAAAGACACTGGCAAAACAAACTGGGATACAAACTCATCAGGGGACACCCAGGTTGGCCTGGGATCTGAGAGGGAGCAGGGTGGAAAACCCCACGTTTTCAAGTGGGCCACAAGAGCCATCATTTTCATCTAGTGAGGACTGCCTGCTATTAGCTTATCCGGGATTTATTTAGAGATTGGTTTAACTTGGCTGCTTATTAAGATAAGGGTTTAATAATTCCATGAAGCCTGAAAGCAAATTTTCACACTTACTAAGGTTAAGCCCCAGGCGCAAAACCACTCCTTTTTTATAACCATCAGCAAATTCCCCATATAGGCTGAATTGTCAACAGAGAGCTTTTATTTTCTAGCCAAGATTTACATCTTCCCTGTTTCCTCTCTTAAGAAGGGCAGGCGGACAGACTAAGAAGATGCTTACCAAGGAAGGTCCATGTGACCGACTTCAGTACAACAGCACTTTGGCTTCCCAGATAAGCAGCCCAGCGTTTGAAGCAGCAGAAAAGCAGGCAGCAAAGTAACACACAAGATATTTATTTGGGCGGCCAATCTGGTGTTTAATTTGCTTGCTTTTGAACTGTGCTGCAACAGCACGTAATAGGTGCAGCAGGTAAATGTGACAGCGGATATGGTATTAACCCATTTGAGCTTAGCTGGGCTGGTCTTAGTTTCTTAGGGTATTGTTTAGCTGTTGCCTTGTCCCCCACATCCCCAAGCTATTGGAAACCTTTCTGGAAAGCAGAAAGGAAGATCAGCTGTGCCAGGCTGCTCCGGAGCAACTGAGAGCACTGATCTGTGTCCAGGACAGACCAGGGAAGCACAAGTCAAGCTGCTTCTGTCACTGCTGAGACCTCTGTGGAGCGGGTGCCAGAGACCCATGTGTCTCCATGGGCACAACCTGCCCAGGAAGCTTGGTACCATCCCAAGCTACAGCTCGAAGTCCTGAAATCCTCCAACTCAAGTACTGCTTTAGGCAGCATTCCTTTCACTGGCATTAGGCTTGCAATCTTCTCATGCTCTTGTGTCTGCAAGAGTGGGCATTCCTCTCCTATCTCTACTCCACACGCAGCTGCATGCCTCACAAAGTGTCCCCACTCTATTCAGCTCCTCTGTGCTGGGGAATTTGGCTGTCTCCAGTTGGTTGGGGTCCTCTCAAACCCCCTGTAGTCCTGCTACATCCTTTGGTACCCTGTGCAGGATCCTGCCAGGCACAGAAAGGTCCAGGAACACCTTTGCTTATGAGCAGCAACATCAGCCTCAGTGTGGAGCTATCTCCAGTGCTTCTAAGGCGTCTCTTAGACACCGCATCTGACAGACAGCCCAGATGCACTGATAACAGGAACACAAAATGCTCCAACAGGTTTAAACAGGGGTTTGAACAAAATGCTCCTACAGGTTTAAGCTCCTAGAGGTTTAAACACAGATTTAGTGCTGCTACATGAAGAAACTATGGCTTTTTCAACTAGAATAACACATGTCCAGCATCCTACAACCAACCAAGCACAACCATGAACAACAAGGACAAGAGAAGGACAGGAAGCCCATGTGGACAAGCACCGGCACAGGGACATACATACACTGTGATCTCCATGTCGGTGCACTCAGGTCCTTTTCCCCGGGATGCTTGCAGAAGCCAGCGAAGCAGCACAGTTTCTTCCGGCACATGGAAGTGGAAGAGCTTAGCATTCCCATACCAGCTGTAGAAGGACAGCTTCTGTGCGCTCTGAGAGAAGTACTCGGAGACATACATGGAGTCTGAAAGGCAGAGAGCACAGCACTTGCTGGGGTGGCTGCGGGGGGCAGGCTGCAGGGATGAACCACCCACAGGAACACACGGGAGTCTAAAGGTTGCTGGAGAGGAGCCCTTTGTGTCCCTGGTTTCTCATCCCAGTCCCACTAAATACGCCGTGATCCAGCCAGAACCACCCACACCCCTACTACAAAACCATCACCTGGAGCCAGGGAGCACTAAAAGATGAATTAAGTACCCTCTGCAAGATGTGCTCTGAACATGACAGATCACCAGAGACACTGACAGGAGGAAAAGGTCGGAGGAAAAGTTGATGTCACAAGAAAGGACCATAGAGTAAGCAGCAGGGACAAACAGTGCAGAGCTGTGCCCTCATCTCTGCTGAGCACATGAGCTAACCTTATCTGTCTTACCCAGCTCAAGACACATGTACAGCACAACCCACTGCCTCCCTGTGACACACAATGTGATGAAAATTCATGTGCTGCAAACCTAATTCCACTTTCAGATGCATCTCCTGAACTATAAAGGTTCTCCCACCTGGAAGAAAGGCTGCTGGGATAGCTAGAACAGCCCCAGGGTAGGCTGAAGGATCATGCAAAACTACATCTATTCAAAGTGCCATCAGGACTAACTAGATCCACCATCCACCCCTCTGCCCAGCTATGTCTATGGGTTACCAACCGCCTGCTGGTAATTCCACCTGCAGATTGTACATCAGTGTTACTGTCTGCAAGGAACCAGCCAGACTGCAGCTCGGGGATGGGAAAAAAACCATCAAACCAGGGCTGACAAGGGGATGAAACTGCACAGGTTGCCCCCCCGAAAACAAGGATCATAACACTCAGCAAAAGGGTAGAAGCAAACATGTTCACATCTCTGCCAAGTCTTCCCAGATGCTCCCTTTCTACTCCGGAATTCCCTGGAGTGGAAGAAATCATCTTTCACTCAGAGATTCCTCATTTGTAACAGAGAATAAAGCAGCAAGTGCGGTTTAACTTGCCTTCATCCAGCCCTGCACAGGGTCATGCTGGAAACACAGAGAACCCAATGGAGTTTAAGAAAGATGCCAAAGAAAGAGGAAAACAATCCTCAAGCAGGACCAGAGCCTTGGGAAGTACTTTATGCCAAGAGGAATCTAATCCTAGCAGGAACTACGATTCATGCCCCAAAGCAGGATGAATGCTGACCTTCACCCACAGCGCTGCAAAGAGACAGGAACAGTAATCATGGGTTTAATTCCCTGGCAAATTACCAAGCCAAAGCCTGCAGGCACCCTGTAAACCTGACAAGGAAAGGAGGAAACAGGGAAGCAAGAAATACCAGCCACACGAGCCAACCACAGGGTCCAGCCAAGGGAGCAGCTCCTGCAGCACCTCAATGCACAGGGCCAGGCGAGTGCGCCCAGGGGAAGGGAGAGCCTTGGCCAGGACAGCGAGAAGCTGGCAGCCCGTGGGCAGAGCTTTCCCCCATGCCGGGGCTGTGCTGCTCCCTGGGCCAGCAAGGAGCAGAGACCACAAAAGGGGCTTTTGAAGCAAACGCTCCCTGGCTGCAAGGCAGCACAGTGCGTGGGCTACTACGGACAAGAGCTGGCTGTGATCCCCTGCGCTGATGGTAGTGAGCCCAGTTACGTTTGATGCACAAGAGTTACAGAAAGGAGCAGTGTTTAATCAGTGGTGTCTGTACCCCAGCTGCACTCTGCATGCAGAAGGTATGTTTGTTTCTGGAGGTCCATAGAGGTGTTTGGACACAGGATGTGGGTAGACAGGGACACAAAGCGTGATTAGAGCTGGGAGAGCCCAATGCAACACATCCCATCAGACAGCCTGCACAGGGATAAGTTCTCCTGCCTTGATAAAAGCTGCTCCAACCTGAGAGAGCTGGGCTTGTTCAGCCTGGAGAAGAGAAGGCTCCGGGGAGACCTTAGAGCAGCTTCCAGTGCCTAAAGGGGCTGACAAGAAAGCTGGAGAGGGGCTTTTTACAAGGGTCTGTAGTTACTGGGCAAGGAGGAATGGCTTTAAACTGAATGAAGGGAGATTTACATTAGATATTAGGAAGAGGCTCTTGCCTGTGAGGGTGCTGAGGTGCTGGCACAGGTTGCCCAGAGAAGCTGTGGCTGCCCCATCCCTGGCAGTGTTCAAGGCCAGGTTGGATGGGGCTTGGAGCAACCTGCTCTAGTGCAAGGTGTCCCTGCCGTTGGCAGTGGGTTGGAACTGGATGATCTGTAAGGTCCCTTCCAACACAAACCATACTCAGATTCTATCATTCTAACCCCCCCAGCCGTCGAGCTCTGCACAGCCACCAGCCATGGTCACCACCCACCAGCACGTCCTCTTGAAGCTGAAGCATGGTTTGTGTGGTTCTGGGGGAGGAGAGGGCAGCCAGGCTGCAGAATTAAAACCCCAAGCAATGAGCAGTGCTATTTATTAAGGACTGGTCAATTCCACGGCACCAGCTCAAGCGCAGTGCCAGGCCGAGGGCAGGCAGGCAGACCTGCCCTGCTCACACGCTGCCAGTGACCAGGTCGGCAGCAGCCGAGGCTGTACCAACAACGCACCCGTGCAAAGTCCATTCAGAAGCAGCTTCCCATGGCAAGAACCGGCCCCTGCTCACAGGCTTCGCTGTGCTGGGCACCCGGGGCAGCTGGGCTGACAAGGAAGCCCCACGGGCAGATAAGCTGAGTATCAGCAGAGGAAAGCCAGAAAGACAGGTCAGCCGCAAGCAAGGCATTTACTTTGGCAGCCCATCTGCATCGAGAGAGCACCCTCTTGTATTTGCTCGCTCAGTATGTGTCTGATCCTATCTATTCAGTATGCTCTGCACCAGCACAGCAACACCTGGAAAGTCCCACTCGACTGTTCCATGATGTTCACAAGCCTTTAAACTGAGCAGGGGGATTGTCAAACAGATGTTGTTTCCATCCTCTGCCATCCAGATTCCACATAAGCACTTTTCAAACCTATTATGCAAAAAGCAAAAGTGTTTTTAAGACAAGAAACGAAGTGCAGTAGAACCACAGATGCAGAGGGTTAGGGTTAGGGTTATTTGAATGTGTTATTTGAATCTAAGAGTAAAGAGCCACCTGCGAGAGCATGGGTTTGTTTGTCCAATCTACCATGAGATCATGGTAGTTTTAGGAAATGATACCTTGGTTTCAGGGCTTCCTATCAAAAGGATGAAACCCTCATCTCAAAGCAGACACTGTCTAAAGCTACAGAGGTGATGATCAGTCTGACTCAAGTGAAGACCTGGCTACGTGGCAGGATGTTTGCCCATTTATAATGTAAGAGACACCCTGTTCCTTTAGCCCAGGTCAAAAAGCCATCCACAAATGTTCCAGGAAGAGGACCCCTCGCTTCTCTGCGCCGGAACTGATCTGTACCAGTGCCCAGACCTGACCCTGTGGGGACGCTTCCCCAGCCGGTGGGACAGCACCAAGACAAACCAACCACCACACCTCAAGGGCAGGGGCAGTTCCTCAGGGCTGGGAACCCAGCTCGCAGGATGCCAGAGGAGGGTGGGCCTGGGGCAAAAGGCTATCTCATCCATCAGCTCCCCGGAGCAGCACCAGGCTTTGCAGACTATGAGGAAGTCATTAAGCACCATCAACAGTGGATAGGCACTGCTGGCACAAGCCTATCTCTGTGATGGGGTGAAGCAGGCAAACAACCTCACGTCCCCAGACCTGTCCACCACTGCAGCCACGGGCTGACCCTCTGCATGGGGAGGCTCAGTCCCTGTGCACCCCAGATCCCCATCACCGCCACAGAGCGCAACCCACCGTTCTGCAAGCCCTCTGCTCCCTCCCAGCCGCTTGGATGTGCTGGAAGTAAAGTAACCTCCGAACCGAGCAAAGCCAAGCAGACCCATCACTGCCACCGCAAGTACAGCAGAAACCCCTCTGGGACCGCGCCTGACCTCTCGCTGCTCTACAGCGCCGGACACAAGCGCTGCTCCACCACAGACAGCTCCCAGAGCCCCCACCACCCAAATCACATCGAGCAATCACGAAGCCACCTCCAAGCCGCCCCTCTCCGGAGCAGCGGGGCTCAGACCGGCTCCCGGCGCTGCGCGGCGCGGAGCTCCCCGCTCACTTTAACGTGACCCGGTCTTTTTCCCACCGACGCCTGTGCCGCCGGGACCCTGCCAGGCGGGCAGCGAGGCCGCTCAGCCCGGCTCCTCCGCCGGACGTGCCCCTGTGTCCCTGTGCCCGCCGAGCATCCCCGAGCCCCCTCCCGCTCCCCGGCCGGGACTCACCGGGCCCGGCGCGGCTGCCGCTGCCGGCGGGGAGCGCCAGGAGCTGCAGCAGGAGCAGCAGCAGCAGCCGCCGCAGCGGCGGGCCGCCCCCCCGCGCCATGGCCGCCCGGCGCTACCCCGGCATCGCCGCCCGCCGCCCGCCCCGCAGCGACATCCCCGCGCTGCCACCGCCCGCTTCCGCCGGCCCGCCCCGCCCCGGCCCGCCCCCGGCGGAACCACCGCCCCCGGGAGCGCTGCGGCCTGGGGACACCCTGCGGCACCGGGATGTGCACGGAGCGGGGGAGCCCCCGGAGCAGCCTTCGGGGCTGGGGGCGATCTGGGCTCCCTGTCCTGGGGACCCCGCTGGTCCTGGGGAAGAGCTGAGTCCTGTCAGGGCCCCAGATAACCCCAGGGAGGGCAGGGACCAGGGACTGAGGTGATCCCGTGGCACCCCGGTACTCCAAGAGGTCCCTGAGAGCCCCGGGAGAGTGACTTCGAGAGGGGTCAGACCCCAGGAGCACCCTGGGAAGAAGTGCTGGAAGCAGGTTGCTGCCGTGGGAGGGGGCGGTGTCGCTGCCTGGGTTTGCTGCTCCGTGCCGTGAGGGGGAATAGGACGGTAATCTGAGATCCGTCTGACCCGAAATCACAGGCACTAACTGCCTCAGGGGTAACCAAACAGCCCACCGCATCCCAGCTCAGAGCGGAAACTGCTGGGGAAGCAACGCTTCAATCTGAAGTGTGGTTTTATACTTGTTCCTAGAAAATCCAG